GGGACACCTCCCACTAGAGCAGGTTGCTCAAGGCCCCATCCAGCCTGGCCTTGAACCCCTCCAAGGGATGGGGCATCCACAACTTCCATGGGCAACCTGTTCCAGGGTCTCACCACCCTCATAGTAAAAAATTTCTTCCTGATATCTAATCTGAATCTTTTTTCTTCCAATTTAAAATGGTTAACGAGCTGGAGGAGGCTTATGTGGCGCTGGGTGCAGAACGGTATGAAAAGGGAGATGTTTGTGGGGCTGGATGCCCGTTCCTGGAGCCGGCTGGAGCAGGGACGGTGATGGCCACCACAGAACAGGTTCCCAGTCTGCCATGGGGTTACTGGAGTCCCCACAAGCCAGCAAGTTTGGTCTCTTCCCCTCTTTCTTACACCACAGAAGATGTCGGACACTCTTTCCTCATCCTCTCCTCCCCACGGGCCAAAACACGTTGGGGGACGAAAATACCGGGCGATAACGTCGAGTGCCTTTCCTTCCCCCCCAAACTAAGAGGCGGCTACGAAATAACGTACACAAACAACTGCCTCGAGATCCGCCCCTCTCCGAAGAGCTTTACTGATGGAAATGCACAGAGAGATGTGCAGAGACGAATAAGGAACTGAGTAATAGGAAGTCTCGGTGGGGGCCGCGGGCACCGGCTCACCCGGAAGCCGCTGTTATTCCAGGCGAGAGCCCAGAGCTCCGAACCCCCAGAGCGTGTGGCACGGAGGCACCAATGCCTGCTGGCCTTGTCCTGCCACCGACGCTCTGCTTTTGGGGTGCTCAGGCATGGCCAGAGGGGGTTGGTGGAAGAAACCGGCCCGAGGAGCAGGAGGAGCTGGAAGGGAAAGGCAGGGCACCCCTCGGGGTGGCTCAGGAGAGGCACCGGGGGTGGCTCTTACCTCCTCTTGAGCTGAGTTGCCAACGTAATTTAAGCCAGAGGATAAAAATTTGGGAAAAAAAAAATAAAGAGGAAAAGCACAGAGCTGGAGCCCGTGCTCTGCAGAGGTCGAGGAGAGACATGGTGGCTGCTTTGCTGCTCCAGACCTGTTGCTCACAGGGAAGAGCCCCGAGCACTGAGCTCACCCACCCCCTTTGCACGAGCCTGGTGGAATCTCAAGATGCTGTAGCCCAAGTCCAGCCTAAAAAAGTGAGATGACAACCAAAGATAAGCCAATTCAGGAGAAGACGCACCTCGGGGGGTGGCAGAGATGTGCTGCTCCCTCATCTCGGGCAGACTCAGCATTAATTACTCTGCCAAGATATTTTTCTCCCTTACCCTCTCTGGATTTGAGTTGCATTATCTGATTATCTGCCTTCAGTTCCTTCTTTTTTTCTTTTTAATAACAATATCAAAATGGGCACCCACACCCTGATTGAGATATATTCATGTCACTAAATTCCTGCTTCTCCACTATAATCTTATGAGGTGGAGTTTGTTTAATTGCTCAAGAACACGACTGTATTTTGATTAGCGGCTTGAGTCATTTGTGGGGAAGGGCTGACGCGGAGGAGCTAAAATCCTTGTAGGGAAATCTGATGTGGCGCTCTCCCTTGGGAGATATTCTGAAATATGTGCCCACTGGGGTGACCCGTTTTCCCAAAGAAAACGACATCCACCAGGCCAGAAAACACCACGGGCTCCGCTCATCCAGCCGGAGATGGGATGAGCGTCTCTTATTGACGGGGCTGGTGGAGACGCATCCAGAGGGGAATGAACTCCCCTCGCAGCAGGGAAATCCCTCCCACTCACTTAACACTTTTTGTTTAGATTCTTAAATAAGGCCATGGATCCGCGCCAGAGCAGCCTCATGGAAGCGGCGGGGAGAGGGAGCTTCCCGGGGGAACCTCTCCCTGCCCAGGGACGACGCGCCGCGGATCCGCAGGCGGAGCAGCGCCTGGTCCTCTCCATCCCTCGGCCACGGGGATGTGGGCGACGAGTGGCAGCATCCCACGAGGCTGCCCACGCCAGGGGCTGGTGTTGGGTGAGGGTGGGATGTCACCTCCCTCCAGCATCCCGGCCACCACCTAGCCGGGTCACTCTGACCAACCCTCCGGCCGTGTCGCTGCTGGAGGAGCTGGTGGAGACCGGAGCCCGCCATCACCCTGACCTCAGCCAACCTCCCCGAGCCCCAGCTGGTCAGGTCGGGGTTCCCCATCACCGCTGCTCTCCCACAGCCCCTGGCATGGGGGGCACTGGGGGTGCACAGGGAGGGAGCCTCCCTGGCCAAGCTGGCGCACGGATGCTCCAGCATCACCTTGGCACCCACCTGTGGGTGCAGGGAGGGCCAGGGTAGCCCTGGGAGGGGGGGAGGCCTCCAGAGGGGGATCCTCCCTGCGAGATCCCCCCCCCTTTTAGGCTGGGCAAACCCCGCTGCAGCCCGCCCTGCGGCTGGAGGGTGCCCCCCTCCTTCCCCCTCCATCCTCCTCCTCCTCCTTCTCGCAGGAGCCCTGCCCTCCCCCGGGGTGATGCGGTGGGGAGGGCCCCCCCCCCTTCC